TCATGAAGACATGTATTCTGACCAAATATAGTCAAGGAGGTATGTCTCCTGACTATATATCAAATAATCAAGGAGATATGTATCCTGAATATATATCAAGTAGTCAAGGAGATATGTATTCTTACTAGACATCAAATAATTTAGGAGGTATACATAATACATATCAAATAGTTAAGGAAGTATGTATCTTTATAATATATGAAATAGTCCAAGAGGTATGTATCCTGACTACCTATAATATCGGGCTAGATAACCAATGTTGGCATCAATTTTGATGTCACAAGTGTAGAATGTTCATTTGAATAGTTTATAACTTCTCATTTTTTGGTCTTAATGTCTTAGAGTTCTAGACATCCATTTAGGCCACCTGGTAGGTGATTAGGGCACAAAACCAGGGGTTATGAAATTCTTGCTTTGCCTTGAGCTCGACCATCGTTGGGGAAACAATCATTTATCAATGGCATTAGGCATTGGCATAAGATGAACTAAATGTATTTCTAAACATGACTTGATCAAACCTCATCCGTCTGAGGGTTCCACTACCAAGTAGATACTTAGTAAGGGGTCCTCGGATGAAATTAGGGTTTTAAGCTAGTTCATATTTAGCCCAAGGACGAGCATGAATTTTGATGTTTTGTCATGTTCGTGGACAGTTTCTAATGGTTAGGTATCATTTTCCATCCATTCAAAACTTTTCGTGGCCAAAGAAACTCGTCTGGGACCTCCGCTGCGCATCTGAGGCATAATAACATAGGTTTGAACTGGCGTGACCACGCCCAGTTCTAACATGATCACACCACCTATGCACAAATTCATGATCAAGATAGAGTGTGACATAATTATGCCACAAATATGGTGTAGCCACGCCAATGCACTAGCGTGGCCACACCAAGTTTTGGCGTGGTCATGCCATCTTTTAGAAAATTAGGGCTTGAAGCCCTTTTGAATGGGCGTAGACACGCTGAGGCTACAACACATGTCGCTGAAAATGTTGATTTTTTTCCTCCATGCTTCTTGGGTCCTTTCCCATTGTTAATTATGTAATTTAGAGGTCTAATAGGAGCTCTTTTAGCTTTGTCAACCTCCCCATGAACTATTGGGAGAGTGCCATATGGATTTTTGTCCCTTTTCTATGCTTGAAAGGGAACTTCTCCCCTATTTCCTAACCCTTTTGTGGACTTAAGCTAGCCATCCAAAAATAGCCAAGGATGGCTGACATTATTCAGCTGTTGGAGAGCATAGGAGAGGAGAAAAGAAAAGTGAGAGCAAGTTTTTTCCTCCATTTCTTCCCTCCACATTTTGGTCCTCCAAGTCTTTTTCTTTCCACCACTTCTTTCTCTTTCTAGAGATCCTTTCTCCTTTACAACATACAAAGATGAGAAAGTGTGGTGAGATTTTCATCCATAGTCTTTCTGTTTTAAAGCAAGAAGAATCAACCATTTTACAAGGAGAACTTCTACACTTGGGAAAAGGTAGGAGCCACAATTTTTTGCTTTACACGAGGAAAGCTTCTTCCACACTTGGATGAAGAACAAGGAAAGCTATCTCTCTTATGAAGTAAAGCTTTATCTTTGCAAAAAAAAAAAAAAAAAAAAAAAAAAAAAAAATCTGCAACCACCATGAAGTTGAAATGCCTAAACTCTTGGATTTTCCTTCTTCTTAGCCAGCCTCTAAGTCTGTCCATATATAGATCTAAGGACTTAGGTTTTCTCTTGATAGAGAAAGATCTAGGGTAAGGAGTTTTTTTTATGTTTCCTTGGTGAACTAAAGAGGAGAAACTATCCCCCTTTAGCAAAAAAATCCAAAATATGGGATTGTAGTAATCCTACGATTGGTTTGCGGTTCCGTTTGTGGTATGGGTTGGATTGAACCCTTAAGTGGTTTAGAGAATGAAGATCATTATGAGACTTCGTTCCCTAGGTCAGGAAAGCTTCAGATATGAAGAGATTTTTCATCTCATGAAGGGTTCTCTTCATAAACGAAGCCCTTTTTCATATTTATCAAATTGACGATGGGCTTCTTATCCATTTATATAGTAAGCTTAAAAATGATAAGAGGTTGGCACATCTCGCCATACAACCCTAAGATTCTATAAGGCTGTTAGGGTGGGCACGATTTGTCTCTAAACCTAATCAGGTCATATTTTCTTGCATGGGTTTCATATTGTGTCATTTACATTGCATGTTCTTTTTTAAATGTACATTAAAATCTATCAAATTTTGCATGTTTTTGGATTGCTTTGATTGATCGGCCGCCACTTACACGACCGACTCAATTGATCATCTGTGTTGTTTCAATCAATCAGTCACCACCAGAATGATCAAATTGATCTACCTTTCTGTCCTTTCCATCTATTGGCTGCCATCGACACAATCGACTCTATTGACTATTTGTGCCAATTTGAATGATTGGCCGCCACCGACCTGATTGACTCGATCAACCACCTCTATGGCTTGACTGACCAGGAACAACTGCTGATCAAGTTGCTCAACTTTTTCATTTGGATGTTGCATCATCATATACCTGTGTTGTACTGCTTGCATGAACACATCTATGTTGGTACCCCGTTGCACATTTTGTGAGCATGTGCCTCCACATGTTCATGATAAGTATTCATGTCTCACTTGAGCATGATAGTTAGCACCTTTTTCCATGACATCTTCATATCATGCGTACACCATATTCTTTTGTCCATGCACCCACACCAGTGCACCCCTACATTTTCACTTGGATAACATCCTTCATGATCATGCATTGTGTACTTGTTGTGTGCCGAAGTAGCTGTTCACACACACTCATATTTCACTGGCGAGATTTTCCCAATGATTCACACATTCATTTCATTGGTGTGATTCTCCCTTATGAGAATCACACATCTTCTCTTATGACACTGTTCAGAACTGTCGTAAGCACTCTCAAGTCACTGCCTCTTTGACATTATCACCCTTGAATCACTTCCTCCTTAGCACACTCACTTCCAAGTCATTATCTCCTCGACACACTCACTCCCGAGTCATCGCCTCCTCGATACACTCACTCCGAGCCACTGCCTCTTCAGCACATTCATTCCCAAGTCATTGTCTCCTCGTCATAATAATTCCCGAGTCATTGCTTTAGCACACTCATTCCTTTGATCGTTTCTATCTTGCTAGGATGGTTAGTGCACTAGATCTTTTTGCGTTTGTATGTGCATTTTCTCGATTGTCTCAACAATAAACTGGCTCGTTAGCTGAGCGACCCTTTATCAGTTGGGGTATGTTAGTGAATTTTGTCCACAATGATGCCTTGGTGGGTAATACTAGCTATTTTAACATAATCGACAAACGTATGTCATGCTAAAGTTCAAAGAGGTCTAATAGGTGTGACTTAGGGTTTTCCTTGCTTAGAGATAATTTTAAAAATATAAAAAACTAATACTTATCTATTATGTATGCATCATAATTTCAAAATTTATTTTGAAATTAGTTGCATAAACTTGCATCTAATGGCTTCTCGTAGAATCCTTAGATCCTTATTATGAAGTCGGATAAGGCAACATAGTCAAAACATACGCTAGCCTTCTGACATAACCTTGCACTCACTTAGATGATGTGTTAAGACACAACGTTAGAAACTGTGCTAGGATAAGGACTATGAAGCTAGGTAGTCTTTTTCGATGTTCTGACTATAGTTCTCTGTTGTATTTATTTTCCTAACTAGGTATCACCTTTTTGTGTTTTTGGTGTGCTTACAGATATGTGCAGTAGTATATTAGGTTGGTCTTCTTGCAGGGAGTTATGTAGCTGCCAGTCAACCTTCACTCTAAGAAGTCGGGCTTTGTCGCCAGCTATTAACGTGAGGTTCTCTCAACAACTCCCCCCCTAAAGATCACCAGAAATCACCAAGGAACTATAACCAAGCAAGCTTACCGACCACGCTAAGGTTAACTGACTTTCTAGAGCAAAGGCCGACCGACACGCAGGCAAGATAGTCAACTGACTCCAGCTTGGTCGGCCGACCTGCGGACCTACCTAACATAAGGTTCAAGCCATTCGAAAAAGTTGTCAGAATCAATTACACATACAAAAAGGCACAACAAAAGACAACATCCCTATTAAAGCAGAGGCCACATGTAATTTTTCACATTTGACCATTTATCTCCTATAAATAGGGGATTCATAGCCTGTATTGGGGGCTTTTGCCCTTTGGTTTTTTTTCCACTCTAAGCTCTGACCTCTTAGGCTCTTCTCTCTCTAGACCACTTGTAAGAAGATCTCTCTCCCCTTCTCTCTTATAACTCTCTAGTTACAATATATAACATGAGTTTCAAAGCCCGGAAATATCTCAGTTCGCTCTTATAGCTTAAGTCTATTTTCTTTCTCTCTCATCATCTCTTTCTACTTTTCTCATAAAGTTTTTACCACTCTGATCCTTATACATGCCTCACAGGATAAAACTGCATCAACAAACACACACACACACACAAATATATATTATATTATCTTATATATATATATATATATATATATATATATATATAATATATATATATTCTTCTTTTTAGTCTGCGAAGTTATAGATAAATTTAAAAAAATATATTTTTTTATATTTTTCCTGCATGGAGAAATATCAAAACTAGAATATGACCTTCATCATTTTTTTAAAATGATGAATAATAATTTATTAAATATATATATATATATATATATCTTACATTAATTATTTTGAAGATGCTATTGTCAATATAATAATTTAGAGGAATTTATATACATAACACCCAATTTTTATGCATTTATGTATCTCACACCAAAAATTTTATTTTTACAAAAACAACAATCAATTCTTTCTGTTCACATAAAAAATTAGCACTAATCATACTTTTCAACTGAGAAATTCACATTTTCATTTATAAATATAATATTATTTTTTGTAAAAATAAAAGTTCTAATATGCAAAGTATAAATTTGTGAATAATATATTAATCGAGAAAATAAATTAAAAAAAAAAAAAATCAAAATTGGATACACTGCTCGTGTGGTCCGGCTAGCCCGGGTAACCTCTCCAGGAGAGAGCGAGAGAGAGGGAGAGAGAGATGGATCGAGACTGGGGATCGAAGCCGGGAAGCGGTGGCGCGGCCTCTGCGCAGAATGAGGCGATCGATCGGCGGGAGCGTCTCAGGCGTCTCGCTCTGGAGACTATTGACCTGGCTAAGGATCCCTATTTCATGCGAAACCATCTCGGCAGGTCCTTATCCTCTTAACCCTAATCGACCAATTAAATGTTTCTTTTGCTGGCCCAAAAGTTTTCAGAACTAGCTCTAATCTAAGTTTGAAGTTCAGTATCTAGTTTAATGTTATTGTTAATCTTGTTTGACGTCGACTATTTTTGATGAAGCTACGAGTGCAAGCTGTGCTTGACGCTGCACAACAATGAGGGGAACTATCTTGCTCACACACAGGGGAAGCGGCATCAGACGAATCTCGCGAAAAGAGCGGCCAGAGAGGCTAAGGACGCACCCACTCTACCTCAGCCCCACAAGCGCAAACTCTCCCTTCGGAAAAGTGGTTAGTTTCCTGTTGCTTCATTTCTTCAAATTTTAGAAAGCGAAAAGCAATTGTACGATTGCTGTGTCAAGTTCAGTTAGGTTAGTTTGATGGAACCTTTTCATCTCAATGAAGTTTTGACTCCATATTGATTTCAGTTCAAAATGAATAGGGCTAATTGTACGATATTGCATTATACATATGGTTATGATTACTGTTTTCTGTCTCCATGAATTAAAAGCATTTCCTGTTGTTTTTGTATGGTTTTTCTTTCACAGGGGCTAAGTTTATTTTGATTTTTGTTTATATTCAACTAGCATCCCAGAAATTATAGCAAATTATGGAAGTGGTTGGTTTCTAAACAAGTTATAGGATTGCATGCATTGAGAATTTGGATGTTGATCAATATGCCGAGCTACCTAGTTATCAAATGTTTAAGGATGATTCAAAAGGGGGTAAAGTATATCATGGATTTCAAATCTTTCATTTTGATTTTAAAGCAGATTTGAGCTAAAGATGGTTTAGTTTTCTGTAAGGGGGGGCGGGTAATCTTGCTTTCTTAGTGAGAGTTGCTTGAATGCTGTATCTACATTACCCCTAAAGTGCATAGTTTAAAATCTGAACTCTTATCAAAAACCTTATTCAGTTATTTGGTCAACAAAACTCTTACAAAGGCGTAAAGATGCTTCATGCCTATTCAACTTGCTACTTCTATCAATCACATGTGGTATGATGTATTTATAAGCTCTAATCATATTCTTTTAGTTCAAATTTGGCTGTATGATGTTGAACTTACTCTTTTTGGCAACTCCAATACCTATAATTTGTATGCCTGATGTGAGAAATTTACTTAAAATTATCCTCAAAATTAAGTTATATCATGTCAATCTTATAGGGTAGCCCCAAAAGAGCATAGAAAATCATTTCAAAATTTGAATCAGATGCATTTGGGAAAGAAAACTTAAGGAGACGGCTTATTTATCTTTTAGTGGCTATAGGGATTAAAGTGCACAATTAGTTCCTTGAACCTTGCATAATATATTAATGAAATTTGTTTGATTTAAAAATTTATATCCTGACGATCTTCTAGTTGAGTTACCACCTTCACCAATATTTAATGGGAAATTGAGTGAAGTTAGTAAAACTTCCTTACTATAACAAGACTTTATGCCATTGTGTAAGTTTTTTTCTTGATAGCTTTTTTTTGTTGCTCTAAGAATTTCCTCTAATTTGATGCTCACTAGTTTTTTGATTCACAAAAATGGTTTGGTCCCAACTAGTTTTTTGATTCACAAAAATGGTTTGGTCTCAACTTTTTAAGGTTTTTGAATTTAATAGGAGTACTTTTTGCTATCCAATACTTCCATAATGTTGAAAATAAACCTTCCAATGCAATTAGTTGGATAGTTGCCATTTGATACATTTTGAATATAAGAGATTTAATTTTCATACTTCCTTATCGCTGTGATATTTTGGTTAGACATTCTTTTCTTATGACCCACCTTTGGTTTAAGTTTTTAAATTTCACAATGTTGCGTTTTGTTCTCCAATGGTTTTTAAGAATTAACCCACCAATGGAATTTGTAGGATAATTGCTATTTTATGGAAGCTTAATATAGGGGTGAGAGCATTGGGGTGCCATGCTTGATTACCCTTCTTGATGATATTTTTGTGAAACTTATTGTGTTTGTTTTATCCTAACTTTTAAAGCACAAAGTGCAATGCGATGTGCGAGCGTTAATTTGTTCTTCAAAGTCCTAACCGAAGCTTTGTTTTTATTTACTGAAATGCTCATAACTTATATAAAATCATAAAAATAATGATACATTCACGAACAATTATAAAACATAAGAGTGTTTGTTAGATGATTAAAAAATGACATAAAATAGAAATGAAATGTGATGCACATACATAACTTGTATATAAAATTCGAGGGTGAATTTTCAAATTGACCTTTCTAAAAATTATATTGTTTTGTTGTGATTAAAATAAACAAATTAAGCCATTCTTTGCATTAACACAATTCTCATCTTTTATCTTTATTTATATCCTAGTTTACAACATTTTCTTGCCTCATATTAACACCCATCTCACATATTCCAACAAATTCAAAAATTAATTTCTATTTTGTAGCTTCTAAAGTATTCTTGCTAAGTTCATCTTTGGTTTTTCTCTTATATCGTAGGTGTCATTTTTAAAACAATAACAACAATCAAAATAAAATGTACATTAAAAGTTAATGTGATGAAATTTGGGGCTTCATAGGGAAAAAATTATAATGAAAATGTCAATAAATACATTACATGAAATTAAAATAAGTAAAAATGTAATCATCAAACAATCCCACCGAAAAAAAAATCATCTGGCCATCCCTTTAAAATTTGAAAAAAACTTCTAATCAAACAAATGAATCATGCATGAAGTTGACTTAAGTATAACTAAAACAAATATGTTCGGAAAAAATCTCCCTAAGAAGATGGGCGGGAGAAGACGAGGTGGGCATAAGATTTTGGAGCTTGATACATGCAGCTTGGTTGAATGGAGAAGTAGGGCCCGTTTGGGGCACCTTATAAGTGCGGGTGACGTTTTCAAAACGCCGTCTCACCTTTTGAAAAACACGATTCGACTGCTTATCCGAAAACGCGGTTGGGTTTTTACACTAAACGCAGACCGCGGGTCGAATCCCACGGTTCAGGATAAGCTGCTTATCTGGATAAGCACAAGCTGCCCCACAGTCTCTTCTTTCCATGGGTTTTTCTTTCAGCTCTTTTTAGTGTGGTTTTGTCCTCGTCTCTACTGCTCTTTTTCATGTGTGTTTGTCCTCACAGAATTTTGGCTAGCTTGCAAAAGCTGGTTGTCTTTGTTGTCATAGAATTAGGGCTTTAAATGGCCGCTTATAATGTAATATAAGCTATTAGAACCGATCTGCTCTTGCCTGTAAATTTGATCGGTTAACCTTCTATCACATCATTGCTTGGTACTGCACTCGCCAGCTCTAGCTACCATGATAAGGTGTGCTTTACTTGTGCACACCCTTCCCATGAAAACACGCTATTTAGAATAGTGCTGCTATCGATCCACCTAGTTTTGTATTAATTTCTTATTAAATAGGGTTATTTTTTAAGAGATTTTTATTTGTGCTTCATTATTCTGCATTTGATTTTTATTTTATAAGGCTATTTGTTTCTAGCGGTGCTATGGATCATTTTTTTATGAGTAGGACCATACCAATGTCAGAATACCATGTTTTGGCTTATTTTGAAAAGTGATATCTACGCAAGTGATTTTTTATTTTAGTATTTGTTAGTTGGCCAATGACACATATACGCCATGCGGAGATCTACATATCAGCTCTTTGTTGACAATATAATTTAAAGAAATATGATTATATGTATTGGATTGAATTTCTGAGTCAGAACACTTAATTTCATTCAATAAACCTAATGATACTTGTGTAGCTAATTTTTCATTTTTTTGTCGAAATTGTTAGGTTACTTGATTATTTAAAATTTTATTTGATGGGGATGTTAATTTCTTGAGGTATTTTAAAAAGAATTATACAAGAAGATGAGCATCAAACTCTACTTTTTTCCTTAGTCAAAATATTTGGTTTTAGTAAATTTTAACTTGGGTGATATCTTATGGTGTTTGAGTAGTGATGATTCATTAAGTTAAATTTAGCATCACCTTTGGTTAAGTTTATGACATCGATCTAGGATTATTAGGAAATGTGTGAAAATCAGGGGATGCCTAAGGAGTGTTGTAGGATGAGAAATGAGCTGGAATTGGTGGGCCGGTGTTTATGGATTACTACAAACCACTGTTGGACAGCAACCTTGCAGCAGGATGGCAACAAAGGTTGGTAACGAAGTCTGCAAACTTCTGAGAGAGATCTCCACCTGTATCAAGTTACATGCACACGATTCGAGAATAATCATTTATACATCACTCAGGCTAAGAAATGTTTAGATAAAACAATCTCTAATGCATAAAATAAGACCAAATGTCCAAATCTGGTTCTAACAATGCATTTATATGTAGGAAACAAAATACCCTGATAATAACGAATAGTACTATAATAGTTCGGCCAACTCAAGTGAATAAGAATTCCTTGAACATGCACAAGACCAGTTTTGGACGGGACTCCCCCTCCCGTCTTGTAAGGGGGACGATGGCCACGTCAGTTTATGTACAATTTATTTATTTATTGATAGGTCTATGTGCATGAGTCTATTAGAAGTTATTGCTGGTTATCAACCTGAAAAAGCCTATTTTATTGACTTAGAACCATTTAGTGATAGGGTTCTGTGCTAGTGTTGGTTGTCGCTTTGTTTGCTCACATGGTATTGTTAGTATTGGTTGCTGTTTTGTTGGCTTACATTATAACACATGTTATTCATGTGATCTTGTTTTGATGGTTTGTGTGGTACATTATTTTTGTGTCTTTGTGCTGCTACTTTTTGAAATTTTAATGTGCTAAATCTGTTTTTTTTGTTGCATGTTAAAATGATTCTCAAAACCTATGATGCATTGAACTGGGACATGATTTCAACTATAAAGTGGGTGAACTGGGACATGTATTCTCAAACTGATTTTGCCTGGATTTGAAGCCCTTTTTTTAAAAATATTTTGAGATGGGATTGCTTTTTAAGTGCAAGATTTGATTGTTAAGTTTTGCTTTTGCTTTACCTTTTATCTATTCAAAAATCAATTTCTATTTTGTAGCTTTTAAAGTATTCTTGCTAAGTTCATCTTTATTTCTTCTCTTATGTTTTCTTTTTTTTGAATGATATATTATGTTTTGGCAGTTAAGATTGGTAGGCCTGGTTACCGTGTGACCAAACAGTTTGATTCAGAGACCAAGCAGCGTTCTCTTCTGTTTCAGGTAAGTACCTTCATTTACAGTAATCAGTATTCATATCATCAAAATCACTAAATAAAACCTTTAAGCGCTGCTCGTAACAAGAATAGTTTGGTTATATTCCTTTTGTCAAAGCTGTACAAGAGAACTGTTTTTAAGCTTAGCATTCAATCCGCCTTGGTTAGCTAACCATGCATGTGGGCTTTTAAATCGCAAATTTTATTCCCATTGCATTAAATTCATTCTGGATGAGCTATATGCTGTTGATTTTATTTAATAAAACAAAAGAAGTTGGACATTTGATATGAAGAATTTTAAAATACAGAATGGCCTCGTTACTATGATTACATGTCAGTTCTCATGCAACCTTCTGCTAATTTTCATGAATGCAAACGAGAACAGGCTTTTTTAAGACATCATGCGGATGAAAGTGCTTCAAATTTGATTTTCTTAGTACAATATGGATAAATTTTGGCCATCCTACTTGGTATCATTTTCTCAAGTAAAGCAAGCCTTTGCTATCTAAATTTAATTTTGTTGTTTTGAGAGTGGTTCGTTTAAAATGTAACTTTCACCCTTAGGCAGGTTTTGATTTAACCTTGTGGAGGAAGATTTATGAATTATTCGAGTTCTTGAAATTATTTTGGATGACTCCCAAGTACTTTAGCATAAAGTTCAACATTGGATATGGACATTAATAGGCTTGACAGCTTGAAAAATCTCAAAATAGATGGTTACAACATGCCTAGGATCGTAACCGTGTGTGTGTGTGTGTGTGTGTTATATATATATAAATGTACAGAGAAGCAACAATTACAACAACAAGCCTTTATTCTACTAAGAGGGGTCAGCTATATGAATCATTTTTCTCCATTGCGTCTTATTGAGCGTCATATGTTCATATAATTCTAATAGATTAAGATCATTTTTATAGAATATGCTCGAGTCTTCTTAGATCTACTTGCATTTTTAACATAAATCGAATATAAAACATCTACTCGGCTAACCAAATCATCAGGTGATCAATGTTTAATGTGACCAAACCATCTAAGACGACTTTCTCAAATTTTGTTTGCCACTGGAGCTACACCAACTCTATCAAGAATATATATAGCAACAACAGCAAAAACAAGCCTTAATCCCACTAAGAAGGGCCGACTGCTTTAATCTTTTTTCTCCATTGCGTCCTATTGAGTGTCATATCTTCATTTAATTCTAATAGAGTAAGATCATTTTTTATACAATATGCCCAAGTCTTTTTAGGTCTACCTCTGTCTTTTTTAACATAAATCGAATCTAAAACATCTACTTGCCTAACCGGATCATCATATGGTCTACTTTTAATGTGACCAAACCATCTAAGACGAGTCTTGTTTATGAAATAAGATAAATGGTGGCAAACTGCATGATGAAAATATGCACCCTCATTCTTGTCGGAAAGAACACACATTAAGAAATGATCTAAATAAATTTCATTTATTTTTATTATTTTGTTCATCTTATTTCATAATTTTTATAGTTTGGGAAATACCTATGACGATGACCTTGAGAAAGGATATATTTGATTGCTAGTAATATGTTGGCTCGTATGGTTTGGATATGGAATTAGATTAATTTAGTTGTGAACATATTCAAAATGACAGTTCACTATTTGGCAATTAATTGGGTTCCTATGTGTTAGCTATAACTATTTCTAAAGTCTGTTAATTAAGGGAAATATGGTGGTGAAATATGATGTTTGCAAGTCTTCCTGTTCCAGTTTCAGCGACTTGAAGTTTGGATGGCTGATTTGGATTTAAATGAGTTGGTGAGGTTTAGTTGTTATTTGGCATGTAGTTCTCACAAGTTGGTGGCTTTTGTTGCCTTTGCAAGTTTTTATTGAGCTTTTGGCTGTTAAAGGCCTGTTAAATTTTCACTAGATTGTGACATCAGTGGTTGTTATCAAGGGATTTACATTATAACTGAAGTGTAGAGCCTTGGATGGGGACTGCTTTAAAAAAGTTGTAAAACCATATGGAGCCACAAGCTTTGGGATAAAATTGACGTGATATTTTTTTAATCTGGCTGAGTTTTCCTAGTCGTATCTAGTAACGTAGGGATATGAGAAGTCTATAAATGCTTGATTTTTGGTGTAAATTAAGAATTTTTGTCTTAACTAAAATTTCTTTCTTCTGATTTTTAATCTTGTGCATACAAGTTGGATGCGCGGTATTAAATATATACCTAATTGTAGGAAGATTATCTCCTTGTATTGGTATTATACTTGATTTTTTTGGTAATAATGCGTTTTAATTCTTATATATAAATTAGGGGCATTTAGATGCATACCACCCAATTCTTATGTATTTACGTATCTAACACCTAAGCTTTACTTTTTACATTTTTACCAACCAAATCTATCATATCACATAAAAATGATCACTATTTTAATTTTTAAAAAATAAAATACACCTTTTCTTGAAATATTTATTTCTTGAACTGGAAATACACCTTTTCATGCATAGGCAAGGTGTATGTAAAATTTGAAGTTTAGGTGTTAGATACGTTTATACATAGGTATCTTTCTATAAATTACTATTATTTAGTTAATGTTGTTGATTTTGGTAAAAAAGTGATACATAAAAAATCTTGTGGAAATTAATTTGTTTGCTTGCTCATTTTATTTATTTTTAAAATTTTTCTTAAATTATCAGATTTTTCTGATTATTTTATTCAATTTTTTTAAGGGCGCGCTTTGGAGCCATGAGCAAGTGTGGTACACCTTCGAAGAACTTAAATTAATTTGCATGTTTTTTTGGAATTTTTTTAGTTTTTAATTATTGCAACAAACTATTTTAAAATGTTTAAAATTTTAATTTACAGGTTTTCCCATAATTATTTGCTTTTAAGTTATGTATTGCACTGCATTTTTTTTCTATTTTATATCAATTTTTAAGTCATGTTATATATTTTATTATTGTTAATGAATGAATTTATACATTAATAGCTTGTATAACCTATTAGCGTTTTGATTGATAAAAATGCCGATTCGCTCTTTGTGCTTTGAAACAATATAGAGCTTTCTGTATCGTATTGCGTTTTGTGCTTTGATAACACTGGTTTTATTATAAATTGGTCCTAAACTCTACCATTGTGCTCTTTCACTTGAATAAAGTAAGCTTGCTAGATTATTTGTCACGTTTGATTTATGAATTCTTAGGTTTCTTTTACACTACATATCATATTAGTTGCTTTATTTGTCCTGCATCACTGTCATTCATATAATATGAAATATGGAAGGATGCAGGGTTGGCTAATAAAGAAGAACAATAAAGACCATTCAGTATAAGTTTTCTGGGCTTATAATTTAAAGCGCACTCCAAGCGCTCAACTTGCTTGCTTGCTTCGTATTTGAGTGTTTTTTTGTAAAAAAAATATGCTATGAAAGTCAGTTGAACAATGGGACTTGAAGCCTATCCCTATAATCACTCAACATTGAAAACATGTTGAGTTAAAGTTTCATTCACAACTTCCGTTTTACAAATCAATAGTGCATAAAGCAATAGTGCATAATAATTTGCCCTTTGTTCTCTGGATGTTTCTGAAAGAAAGTTTTTTTTTTCAGTCATATTATCAAGAAAAAAAAAGGAATATATGAATTTGTGTGGATATTAAGAGAGCAATAGAGAAGAAGTGTGAGAGTGGGAATCAAGTATAATAATTTGGGAATCTTTCTGGTGACAATGATAAGAGATGATTTATAAAGATGCAATAGAGTAGAGAAAAATCTTAAAGGAGAGTGATTTTAGTGTATAACCAAATTAAAGAGGCATAGATTGTACCTAGTTTCTCTCATCAATTTGTTTGCACTGCACCCAAGAGGTACTCAGTAAGTATTGGAAATTTTTATAAGGTCAACAAAAAATGCCACATGTGAGTAGTGACTTTAAAGCAATACCTGAGCTTCTGTTCTTTGTAGCTATTACTAACACTCAACCAATCCTCTCAAACTCTTGATTTTTATGGTGAAATTCAAGGTGGATGGCCTTATCAAAATGCTAGTTTCTGAACCCTCTGATTCTTCTTTCTAGGCTACGTAGAGATTAAATAACTAACATTCACTGGAGCTCGTTGGGATGCCTGTCGGAAAACTATATGGATTTTTTTCGTGGCTCTATCCTTTACAGATTGACAAACAAAAAAATACTCTTACCTATTAGTGCACTGGAGAATCATGTCACTATTTTTCTTGATAAGTAGACCCGTACTTGGGCGCTGAATATTTGTATCAATAAGTTACAGTATTGGCTTCCAATGTGTGTTTGTATGTTTTGGAAGTTTTCACGCTTAAGGACAGCTTCAATTTGAGTTTTATGAGCTAATATCCATAAATCAAGTTTATGGTGCCTGCTCCGTTTCCCGAGTCATATTTTTCCTGTATTAAATACATGTGAATGTTCGCCGTTTTAGCTTCACACTGATATTTTTGTTTCAGATTGAGTATCCTGAAATTGAAGACAACACAAAGCCAAGGCATAGATTCATGTCATCCTTCGAGCAGGTATTTGCAGTGCTTATGTTAAGGGCCTGTTTGGGATCAGTTTTGTATTCAGTTTTTATTTTTTCTGTTTTGTTTTTAGAACATGTTTATTTAATGTGTTTTTAATATATTTTTATTTTTCATTTCTAAAAACAAATACACATGTTTTTGAAAACAAACAAATCAACTTTTAAGTTTTCAAAAACAATTATATCTTAATCAAAAATTTCAAACATGCTTTGTTTAAAGTCAAAACATATGCAAAATAAAAAAAATAAAAAATAGAAAATAAAAAATCAAAGTGATCCCAAACGGCCAAGATTCATTCATTACTTTTGCAGTAAATGGTTTCTATGGGTATATTATAATATTTTTCTTATAATAACTACTTTGCTTGTGCAGAGGGTCCAGGCTTGTGATAAGAGATACCAGTATCTGCTATTTCATGCGGAGCCATATGAAATCATTGCTTTCAAGGTACATTTATTTTTATAACCAGATATTATAGGGCAGACTCATTATGAACAATCTTGGAAGTTCATGAATTTTGTTTCTTACTTTTTAGAGTATTTGGATCTAAATAGCGTGTGAAATGTGGAATGCTTAGCATTTCTCTGTTTTTATGAAACAATCCAACAATTTCAAGTCACATTTGAGCATTTTTATGAAGCAATGCAATGTCAAAATTGGAGCCCTTTAATTGTACCTTGATATCGTGTGCATTTGCTTGACATAAAGATTCATCAATATCGCAATTAGCTCCATCACCTAGTTAATATACTTATGGTGTGCAATATTTAGGCTTGGGTCTAACATTATTTAGAGTTTAAGCTGCATTATTATTATTATTATTATTATTATTTATATTTCAGCCTCAAAGGATGCATAAAGCTATTCTTAAGGCTACTGTGTCTTCTTTTGAAATCCAAGTTGTGGTTCTTTTCTCAGGTTCCAAGCACAGAGATTGACAAGTCCACTCCAAAATTCTTCTCTCATTGGGATCCAGACCTTAAAATGTTCACAGTTAGTCTCAAACCTAATCTTCTACCTGTACCACCAACTTTTTTGCTTTATTTCTATCACCATCTTTTTACATATGTCATACACGTGAACAGTTGCAACTTTACTTCAAAGCAAAGCCACCGGAATCTAACAAAGCCCCAGCTGCTCCTGTTCCATTGGTCAATGGAACAGCAGCCCCTGGCGTTCCTCCGAGGCCCTTGCCGCCACTTCAAGCACCTCCTCCACCTCCACCACCACCTCAGGGAGCTCCACCCCCACCAGCTCCTGTGGGGAACCCTCCTGCAAGGGTTCCACCGCCACCTTTAGGTGCTTCACAACCCCCACCGCCACCACCACCGGCAGCAAATGGTCCGCCTCGTCCAATTCCTCCACCGATGGCTGGGACTGGCACAATGGCAAGCTTCACACCAGGGCTTCGACCACCGATGCAACCCTTTATGGGGCAGCAGGTGCAAAACCAGGTTCATTTCCCTCCCCCACCACCACCGCCACCTAATATGGGTCAGTAATCACCTGTTCCCCCTTCATACCATTGATGTTTTAATCAAACTTTTTGTTTTCTGATTATATGATATGATGGAATTGTAGTGAAAGATTTTGATGAAATATTACTGTCAGAAGTTTTTCCATCTATCTCTTCTTGGCTTAGTTTCTTATGATAATTTTGATGAAAATTTTCGCTAACAAACCTACTGCAATTGGATAAATTTATCCCTACAGAATTTCTAACTACGATATGTGAATTGGTTATGTCAAGAGCTAAGGTTATTTTTCCTTGCAGTGATAATAGTATAGTGTAGATGTAGAAGAAATGTGAAATAAGGTAAGGTATTGTAACAAATAGAAGCGTAAATACTCTGCTCTTTCAAGCATATAAAATGACTTGGTAAAGTGACTTTAATTTCTTAAGTCCCACTTTGAAATAATCACTCAACTCTCGAGCTAGGATAGGCTTGCAAATAGCTCATGTATGGCTTATTCTCGAAGTCATATTTTTTATCCCTTCCAAAATTTTGAGGGATTTAAATATGCATATTATAAAATTTTTTTGTATTTATTTGACATTAGTTTAAAATTTTTTTAATATGTACCATCACATCAAAAAAATAATTTATATTAATTTTATTGAAGCGGAGTATTTTTTATGCACATATTTTGATGTGATGTGATATTAAAATGTTAAATAGATAAACTTTAATTTAAATATTATACGTATAGACATATTCAATCACCCTCATTTTTTCAACATTATTGAATCTTTTATTCCCTTTAAAATTGAATTTCTTAATTTATTTTTTTGATAATCGATTTATTATATATATAATTTGTTAAAATGTAGATTATTCATTAGAAATTGGTATTTGTAAAAAATTAGAAACATAAAAGCATAATATATAATTAGTTATTTGTACTTTAAATATTTATGATTTTACTTGCTGAAATATTATCATTCACAATAAAAAAAATATTATTATATATTATTATTAATTTTTAAAAAAAAAATCCAGATAAAAAAAGGATCAAGGCAATCCCACATTGGTGAAAACCTTCAACCATCTTAAGCATAAAGTGAACACTTCAAATAATTCTATCTACTTGTTAAAACATGGCAGATCAACGAACAACACATCAACTTCACACTAGTGACATTGCAATTGAGAAATAGAGCAAGTATGAGAAATAACTTCAGACAGAACACCAATTAATTGCTCAGTTCAATAACCTAAATATTTACTCAAAAAAAAAAAAATTAAGCATGCAGCCACATAATCTATGTTCATGTTAAAATAAAAACATAGAAAAAGAAGGTATAAGCTAACAACAATGTTAAAGATATACCTGAAAATGATGTCGGGGGGCATTGAAAAAATTCCCTAAACATTTACAGACTGACCTTAATCGGCCATTCTTTTTACGAACAAAAACTAGAGATAGAGAGAGAGAGAGAGAGAGAGAGAGAGAGAGAGAGAGAGAATTACAATAAAAATGAAGAGACCAGGCTCTAACCATTGAGGCCTGCAACATAAAATAATTTCGTCTCAATTATGCTCTATTAGCCTTTCATGGACGTGTAGATCAAAGAAGAGCTACTTCTGCAAGCAGAAGATTTTCTTTTTCTTTTTCTTTTTTTTTTTCTTTTTTTTTCTTTTTTTTTTCTTTTTGAAGTTAAAAATAAAAATAGAAATAAAAATAATATCCCCTTGTTTTTACTCCCAAAATAAAATTTGAGCTCTAACCAAGCAAAAACTTAAATAAATCACTTAGAGAAATAATTCCTTCCACACGGTAGCCTGTAGCCTCCACAATGATGAGCCGCCTCACACCAGGGCTGGACAACCGCTCCATTACTCTCTGTAAGGTTTCAGTCCGAAAACACGTCTGGCTTCTCTGCTCAGTACTGTACCCATACGCAGAATTTGTATCCTCAGCAAGCTGCATTGCCTGTAATTTTTTTTTTTTTTTTTTTTTTTTTAAAAAAAGAGAGTCAATATTCAAAGCCAATTTCGATCTTGCATCTATTTTATGTAACCTGTGCAGCATCATTATCAAAGAAGTTGCATTGCAATTGATTCATAGATAACTAGATTTTTTGTTCATACTTTTCTTTTCTTCATATATACCAGTAAAAATTGTCTATATTTTGAGAAAACTAGCTCACTAAGGAAGCTTCCATGCCTGATTTTACGTTTTGTAGTTGTATTTTTATTTGATCAACAATTGAAAGAACTAAAATCAAGAGGCATTTACGTACATACCACCCAATCCCTTCGTATCTGAAACCTAAATTTTACCGTTTACATATCTGAAACCTAAATTTTACTGTTTACATTTATACCACCCAAATCTTTCGTATCATATAAAAAATGACAATATTTTAACTTTTAAAAAGTGAAATAAACCTTTTCTCCCCAAAATATATGTGAAGTTTGGGCGTTGTAAATACATAGGAATTGAGTGGTATGTATGTAAATCTCCCTAAAATCTAAGATAGCTCCTGTTTCCTCTCTTTTCTGCCAATGGATTTCAATTTAAGTATTCTTACTTGATTTCTATCTTCCACCACCAACTCAATATATCATTTACTATGAGAGCCCAATTGTTCACAACTGTGCAGCGTGTCGATCCCATTTGAGTTCCCCTCGCATAATCTTTCATGCCATCTTTGGCATGCGAGACACAAACCTTTTGCTCATTTCACGTAAACCCTCACAGTCGTCGCTGCTACATTACACACCTATCTTTATGTGGCATCCCAACCCTGAAATGTGTCAATTCAAAAAGTTCAAGCATCCATGTTACCTCCACCAGTACAATAGAAGCTCCCTCTTCACAGCCAATATACAAAAAACATCATTGCGGTGTTTCGATTCTGCAGATAAAGCTATGATGATGATCAATCATTAGTAATAGATCTACTTGATGAACCTAACCTTGAAAATGAGCTTATGAATACTTTTGAGCCTAAATTGGAGATTGTATCCAATCATGAGAATGAAATTCATTGAGACGAAGTTTCCTAAGTGAGCTATAAATTTTAGCATATTTGGCAGTTTTTTCTCCATATATATAGTTTGATCCACATGTTCCGAAATTACTTTTTAGCACATTAGCAACACTAATGGTGTTCATGTTATCGGTATGACCAATTCAAATATGATTGAGATTAATAATAGACCTGCTTCAAGAAAGATATCTAAGAAAGATATGTGATGTGTTGAGGTATTTGAATTTGAAATGTCATGAAATAGTCATTGGAGGACCATTTTATAATTAAATTTTATTATTAAGACCTATTTCTTTTCTTTAGTATCGATAATTTTATAATAAAGACTTTAAAAGCTCTATCATGGAGCGAACCAAGCCTAATTATACCCACATTCCCAAAAGACAGTTTTTAAGAGCTTAGATTTCAAGTTTTCTAGAATTGAAGGATTCTCTATTTTTGTAGCAGAGTCTGAGACTCCACTACAATCGATCTTAGAGCTCGGGAGGCTATCATTGATGGTGGTCTAAGATGGGCTGCAACTTTGGAACAAGCCCTCAGAGTTCTTTATTTCCCACCAAAAAGAGTGCAAACACTATTCTACAACCAACAAACATCCTAGCAACCCCAAAGGAAGGATTTTAAACTAAGCCTATCTATATTATTTTTAAAATGGGCTTGCGATTTGAAATAGTCATAATAATAGATTGTCTTGCGATTGAATAAAAAAAACGAGATGCTACTTAGTATTAACAATTCTATAAAGCAAGTCTTTCAATATGCGAATCATGAAAAGTATTTAAGAACCACTATAACTAGCTCATTTCGAAAGATGAACTACACAATAATTTTAACTCGCGTAACCATATTGAATTTTATCCATGCATACTGCTACCTATTGCTTCTATGTTAAGCAACTTGTTATGTTAGTAAAGTCAACAAAGATGAGAGTTCTCATATTAGTAATGATAGATCTTAAACTGACTCAAAAGTCTCAACGGGCATGTGTCAATCTATAACCATAAATTCAACTAGATTATCCCCTCTTCCTTTCTTGTATATGCATCCCAATTCCATCTGCTTCAACAACCCCTTCACTGCCAACACTATAATTGTGGCAATTGACACAACATCTATGGCCTTTAAAGGTCCTCAACATGAAAAAGACTATCCAAAATCAAACAGCTCATTGCATTTATCCAAATTAACACCAAGATCTCGAACCTTCGGAGAAATCCTAACATATTCACTTGTCAAACCGAAAAGGCTAATAATGCGTTCAAAAACTGAAGGTGAGAGGCGGAAGGATAAGGGACTATGGAATAGATTGAATTATCTTCCCCTCTTAAACTTTAATCTACAATTTATGATAGTTGCAAGTTCAAGTAAGACGATAGTGCAAAAATAGCAAAAAAAAATCAATCAGAATTAGATGACTGGTATTAAGACAACAATTATTAGCTAGATATTGTATCACAATTAGCAAATATACCTAGCAGAAATTTTGGGTGTCATTTTAATTTTCTTCTTCGCCGTGGTTTTGCAACAATCTAATATAAACAAGTGTTTGCCTATCCATCTATCTAATCTCTATTTATATGCATTTTATATATTGAACAAAAATTTTAATGGGAATACTTAGTGTTAGAAGTTTTGCATGAAATAGAAGTTTTGCGAATGTTGTGAGATTTTTAATTTGGAAAGCAACTAAAAATGTTCCTGTCCTCTTGTAGTTACAGCATAATCCCATGGATAGGAAGATATTTGATTATTCGACTTATTTTTCAAGCAAGATAAGATCAATCAAGCTCCTATCTAATCTGTTGAATGTTTTTTTAAAAAAATTTCACATCTTCATTTATTCCTTCATGTACGACTAGCACTTCTATTTCTTGCACATTAAAAAAATAATAAAAACTATGTTACCTTGATTTGCGTATATTTAGTATTTAAATATTTTCCCTCAAATATCACATAAATCACATTAAATACATTTGCATAACCTGCACTTAAATAGCCCAACTCATCTTAAATTAAGGCTGAGATAAGAGAGTGGTGACCGCCTTCCCCAAGATGACAATGCAACTTAAGCTGGGCATCTAAACCTCTATGTAGTTGATCTTTATTTTGTTCTAGTATAACTAGTTCAAAAGCGCATGCTCAAGGATGAAAAAGTTTTTATTTGGCTGCTAGGTTGTGCTACCCTTGAGTGGAGTAATTGTTGGGTCTTGAAAAAGTAGCATTAAGTATATAATTCAGACGTTATAAATAATGGAGCAATCAAATCCCAGTAAGCTACAAATAAACTTTTTGAACTAAATTTTGTTGCAAGTTATTATGTGGAAAGCAAATGTAAAAATATCAATAATACAGGCACTTCCAATTTTAAGACAATACTTTAAAAGTGATTTATCCTCTTCCCATACCCATTAGATAATAAAAAGATATACTTCTCAGGTTGTCAGAATATATAATCAAGAGCATTTTCAAGGAAAAATGTGCAGCATGTTAAATATTGACAATGACTAGGCAATAAATTATAATGAAACAAATAGCATAAATCCAAATTAAAGAATAACTAATGAACTTTTTTGGAATAAAAAAATGGTTAAAATTCTTTGGAGTCATTTGGTTGCTTGAAAGAGTCTTAGCAATTGAAAAACCTGGGGATAACAAGGCACTGTGATTCAACAAATCAGAAATGAAAAAAGTTAGTGCCAAATATCCAATGGTGGATAGTCTATAAAAAGAATTACAGCACACTATTATGTTATTAAAAGACCATTTTTGACAGACTAAAGAGGCGAATTAAATATAGTGTTTAACCTGATGGACGGTCATTTTATCGAGGTGAATCTGTGCATAGGCTCTATCTTTGGCCAGAGCTGTGATGTCACTGCAAACACAACACTAAAATCCAGTCATACATCCAAAAATGTTTCTCAAATAAATCTGAATAGAAAAGGAAACCTTCATAAATTACCTTCTCGAATATGTATCCAACAAAACGTCATCATCATCAACTATTGGAATACAGCTAACACGAGCTGTGAAAGTGATTAAAGATAATTTGTAAAAAAAAAAAAACATAAACACAAAATTAAAAAAAAAAAAAAGACTAAGATTGTGAAACAACAAAGGAGCTATTCTGTGTTCAGAAGTTTCCATATAGGATTTAAACCTCATTTAAGGGTTTTCATACGCAAAGAAACAGAGAAGTAAGGTAGGTTAAAGATCAATGATAAGCTTCTCTGGAAGAATGAATTAAAAATAATAATAATTAAAAAAAAACTACAATATATTCCCCAACAGGGGAAATTCCTACGGAAATTATATAGACGATCATGTTGATATGCTAAAATTTACTCCACATTGCGGGGTAAAAGGGTATTTCTGTTTCCCAAAGATCAGCTTGTTGCATAATTACTTCATTTAAAAAATTATTTCAACAGTAAAGAATAGCTTGACCAATAAACTTCTCAAACTATAATTTGATCGCTCTACTCCGCATAAGGTCCTTCAATGAACAAAATAAAGTGCCAAAATATATAGTCCCCTAATTATCGACATGAGGCCAAGTTAGTCCCATAGTCTATATAAGTGTCAAATTAATACCCACACTATTTAATATGGGACTAAGAGCTTGTTTGGGGAAGTTACAGCTTATTAAAAAGCGGCTGTAAAGTTGAATAATAATATGATGCTCAAAAAACTATGGTGGCTATTACAAATTTTTTTTTTTTTAAGTCTAACCGCAGCTAGAAAGCTGTCACCGCACCTAGCAATGAGTGGTGAAGATACGCAGATTTCAGCGGCAGCTTTTCGAAAAAGCTATCAAAACACAGTTTACCCAACAACAACAACAACAACAAAAAAGCCTTAATCCCACTATGTGGGTTGGCTACATCTTTTCTCCATTGCGTCCTATTCTTTTCTCCATTGCGTCCTATTTACTGTCATATTTTCATTTGGTTCTAATGAATTAAGATCATTTTTTTTATAAAATAAGCCCAAGTCTTCCTAGATCTACCTTTCTTAACATAAATCAAATCTAAAACATCTACTCTCCTAATCAGATCATTAGATGGTTGACGCTTAATGTGACCAAACCATCCAGTTTACCCAAATAGACAAAATTGTGGTGTGGTGCCACCACACCGCCGTCCCAAACGGATCCTAAGATATTCTGCATGGAATACAATTTTAGGCCTCATTAAAAGAGTGAACTAAATTGTAAATTGACATTTTTATACACTCTGGGACTAAAATAATCCCTCACAAAAAGTTAGGGGACCATGACATTTTTCTCAATAAAATTATCACCTAGTTGCATGTAAGACAATGAATCATGGATCCCATAGGCAAGCCTAGTTCTAAAAAACATACTATGCATGCATTGACATGGGGCGGTCCAAATCCACGCCCTTCAGCCTGCTTCAGTCAAACCCCCGAACCGAACCTGTCCACAGCATTAAAATGCCGATCCATTTTAATCGCTTGCATCCCGCATCGCACGCTCCACTCGCCTCCTTTCCCCATGCCCTAATCTTATGCCCCGCCTAGCCGTTGTTGCGCAACTCCTAGCCATTGCATTTCTTCCACTCTTCACCTCTTTCCTTCTCAAGATCTTTCCTTGTGGTCTTATCTTCCTCCCCCATTTATGCTTGTTAATTTCTTAGGTCAAGACAGTTTTTGCTTGTTGATTTTTGTTGTTCCAGGTGATCCACCTGGGGGCTTTCCCCTCATTCGAGGTTGTATCCTTCGTAGTGTGGTGCTACGGTTGTATCCCACCAATGTAGTTTGTATCTCCGATTTACCCCCACACCCCCCTCCCGGCGTCGCCCTCCACTGTTGCCGCCATCCCAACTTCTCTCGCGGAATGTTTGAGTCCTCTCAGTTATACTACAGCTGTTGTGATCCTTTCCAGTGTCTCCTGCCCAGCTCTCTCCAAGCGCTGCCCCTCCATCCTGCACTTTTCCAAGTAAGCCGCGTGTCACACCCCGCCATTAGCAAAATCAACATGAGATGAAATACTCTAGAAGAGGCTAGATGGAGGGAAACATTCTAGAAAATTCTCCCTCATTCTGGAGAATGAAGGCCCCAAGAATAACCTAGAAGGATCTAGAATATGTATGTACATAAGAATGGTGTAAAACTATCTAGAAGCTAGAATATTATAATGTAATCTAGTAGCTTCCCTTGGGCTTAGAGGAGGCTATAAATAAGAGTCCCTCCCATCATTTCAATCCATCCAAGGTTTCAAGCATTCAAGCTTTGTAATCTCTCTTCTTAGTGAAGCATTTTCTTCTCCAACACATCTCCCTATTCTTCTTTCGAGTATTTTGTGTTCCAGTGCTACGAAAGTTAGGTTGATTTAGTGCTAAGAAAAAATGCTAAAGCCGCACGGGTGATTTGAAGAAAGTTAGTCTGTGACAGTTGGTATCAGAGAATTGGTTCGAAGGAATGACAAAGAGTGTCTAAGAGCACGTGACGGAGTCGGAAGCCATTGATGTGGAGTCATCTCAAAGGCGAGGTCGCCAGGAGCAAAGAGATCTCGTTGCACCCAAGCCACATGGGAAATCCAAGGAGATCATGCATGACTTTGATTCACGTCTTGCTCGGGTGGAGGAGGCGATGAATGACATGGAGACTAGGATCTTGTTCAAAAGGTGGATGGACTCGAGGAAGAGAACGTCACCATCCATTCAACTATTAGAGGTACGATGCTCCAACTTGAGGAATCTCTAATGACTCAAATGACCAGGATGCGAGAGGACTTGATGGGGGAGCTCCAAGAGGTGCGAAGAGCCCACGAAGAAGAGATGAGCGACGTATGTGCTAGTTTGGAGGAAATGAGTGGGGGGGACATCTCGCTATGCAAGAGGGCATTAGCGACACCTACTAACCATCAGACCTTCGAAGCCAAGATGATTAAATTGTCAAAACCAAAGTTTTGGAGGAACTCGTGATGCGAAGGAAGTAGACAACTTCTTATGAGAACTGGAACAATAATTTGGAGCAATGGGGATTACAACAGATGAGGCGAGAATATAATTTGCTACTCTGTATTTCTCAGACATCGCTATGCTATGGTGGCGAAGAACAAAAGAAGATATCGAGAAAGGTATATGCATCATGTCCACCTTTAATGACTTTAAGAAAGAGCTAAAGAGAGTTCTATCCCGAAAATGCGGAACATGAAGCTAGAGCCCGATTGCGATGGCTCAAGCAAATGGGATCGATTCGAAAATATATTAAGGAGTTCACTAGTTTGATCCTTGAGATCCCCGAAATGTCAGACAAAGATGCTTTATTCAACTTCATGGATGAACTCCAACAATGAACAAAGACGGAGCTTCAGAGCTGTGGAGTACAAGATCTCGCTACCGCCATCGCTGTGGTAGAAAGCTTGGTCGATTATACAAAAGAGCTACAAGCCGAAGGAAAAGAATATCAATTATGTTAAAAGTGGGGGAGACCGGGATCAACAAAAAGAAGAGAATCGTCGTGAATTGACCCCATTCAAGACGAAAGACAAGGGGAAGTATAACAACAACAATAAGCCTAAACCACAACATTTGCTTCCTTTGTGGAGGACCATATTGGGTGAGGGACCGTCCTCAAAAAAAAGCTCTAAACTCTCTCCTCACAAGCCATCAAGAGGTAGAGGAAGGTGATATGGACACACAGGTGGGAACAATGCGACTATTCAATGCGGTACGCTCCTCTCCAAAAACTCCGGCAAAAGAACTTCTCTTTGTAGAAATAATTATAGGTGGGATATCTACTAATGCAATGATAGACACCAGAGCTTCTCACAACTTCATCTCTATTGGAGAAGCAAGAAGGATGGGTCTGCAAATAACCGAAGGAGAGGGCTCCATCAAAACAGTTAACTCAGCAGCTAGGCCAATTCATGGAGCGGCCAAAGAAGTGAAGACCTGCATCGGAGATTGGTCATGTACATTGAATTTCTCCATCATTCCCATGGATGATTTCAAAGTAATCCTTGGTCTAGAATTCTTGGACCAAGTAAGGGCATTCCCAATACCATGTGCATCATAGAGGGCGATCAGACTTGCCTACTATCAACGATAAAGACTAGACAGCAGGAGACCAAGATGCTATCAGCCATTCAATTCAAGAAGGGCATTCGACAAGAGGAGAGCTACTTGACTATCCTTCATGACATCGATGAAGAGTTGAAGATTTATCAGAAAGACATGAAAGACCCTTCCAGGGGGATCTCCAAGCGAGCGCCTACAACAGTAATCTCCTCCTTCGACAAAGAAATCATGAAAATACTGGCTGATAAAGTGATTAGACGATAAGGAGTGTCAAACTACAAGGAGTTTCTCATCAAATGGAAAAGATTGCCTGATAGTGAAGTTAGCTGGGAGCATGAAGACACCCTATGACAATTCAAGGAGAAGATCCAACGATATCAAGAAGAGAAGCGCAATGAGGGTATTGCGAGCTTAAGTGGGGGAGAGTATCACACCTCGCCATTAGCAAAATCAACATGAGAAGGAATACTCTAAAAAAGCCTAGATGGAGGGAAACATTCTAAAAGATTCTCCCTTATTCTAGAGAATGGAGGCCCCAAGAATAACCTAGAAGGATCTAGAATATGTATGTACATAAGAATAGTGTAGAACTATCTAGAAGCTAGAATATTATAATGTAATCTAGAGCTTCCCTTGGACTTGGAGGAGACTATAAATAAGAGTCCCTCCCCTCATTCCAATCCATCCAAGGTTTCAAGCATTCAAGTTTTGTAATCTCTCTTTTCTTAGTGAAACATTTTCTTCTCCATTATATCTCCCTATTCTTCTTTCGAGTATTTTGTGTTCCAGTGCTACGAAGGTTAAACTGATTTAGTGCTAAGAAAGAGTGCTAAAGTCGCATGGGTGACTTGAAGAAAATTAGTCCGTGACACGCGAATCTCATCCCGTCGTTGTCACCCTCTCTGGCACCACCTCCTGCGAACCGTCAACCTCTCCAAGTTCTCCAAGCATGCTCCAGTCACCGCCGGTCACTCCGACGT